CGGGCGGGGCTGAGGCGGCGCTCGCTGGGGCAGCCCGGGCTGAGGCGGCTGTGGGGGAGGGAGCGCGGCTGTGGGGCGCCGTATTCTTCCTCCGTGACAACGAAGAGAGACGGGTTGACTGAAAATAAGTAAAATCAATGTCCCCGGGGGTATAACGGTAAATGCCCAGAGGCGAACAGCGACTGGTCTGTGTGTGCACTGCGTGGGCTGGTTGGATCCATCCGCCTCGGCCTGGCCGAGCTGTCCCTTTATGTGCCAAGTGACAAAAACTGGTGGTAAAAGTCAATGTGGTAACTTTTAGGAAGGTACTGACCTCAGTTTCAGTATGTAAATGTTGTAATCCGAGGGGCAGATAGTGAGCCTGGAGCTGCAGAGCTGAGCTGGTTCAGAACCTGTTTCTTATCAGAAAATTCGTCTTTGTAGAAACTGATTTTTTGCAGAAAACTGGTGCAAATTTGATAAAACTGTGACGTATTTTTTGAGTCCCATGATGGAAATTCACTGCCTAGTCAGCAGGTCTGTGATACAGCACTGCAGTAGTCACAACCCAGGATGGGTTTTCCATGCACTAAGCAAGCTGCTAAATAGGAATATTTTTCTAAGTACTAAATAAATGTGCTCAATTGTAGCAGAACGAAGCTGGAACTTTTACATTTCTAAAGTTTTGGGTCCATATTAAACTGCCAAGATCAACTCTGGTATTGTCTAATGTAATCTTTGCAAAGGTCTATTGATTTTCGTTGTACCTACATTTTATTATCTTTATAGATAGCAGGAAAATGGGATTTGTGTGTTTATAGAATGATAAGGTTTAACAAGTAGATCACTGACATGAAAGGGGAAAATTCTCAAAATTAAGAATATTCCATAATAAAAAAATATGTATGTTTCTCCCTGACCTGGCTCCCTTTGCTTTTCAGAGATAATGTTTCTGTCAAGTAATGGATTCACCTGAGAATTCTGCCACTGTGGTCTCTATTATCATTTATCTTTAGGAAAGGGCAAAACAACTAAGAAGTCAGCCTGCTCAGGTTGTGGAACCCAAAGGTCTTCTGTACATCCAGCAGAGAGAATTTGCAGTGACTACCCCTAAAGATGGTAGGCAGGAACATAAACATTTTTTCTTCTGTAGAAGTAATGATCATTAAAAGCAGAGTCCTTACAGTGTTTCTCTCCTTTTAAAATAGGTTCGGTTTCCATTCTTGGGTCAGATGATGCAACTACCTGTCACATAGTTGTGCTCCGACACACAGGTATCTTCAGAGGATGTTCACAACAAAATCTGTATCCCAGATTAATTAGTATTGGTTAATACTGCATTAATTAAATAAGTTGCAGTTATGTTTAATTAAGCTTCAGTCTCAAAAAGCCACATGATGTATTTACTGACTTGCTCAAAGAGTTGGCGTGTTTAGTGTCAGAGGTTCCATGGTCTGGCTGCTCAGTGAGC